GGTGGGGATTAAAAATAAATAAATAAATAAATAAATAAATAAATAAATAAATAAATAAATAAATAAATGGAATTACAATACCACTACCTTGAATATCTTATTAAGAGAATGTGATAAAAAAACACTTTTAGAAAAAAAAAAACACTTTTATCTACAGAAACCTCAAAAATAGAAACTTCACTGTGTAATTTATTCACTCTCTGATCAAAACAACTTCTCCAAATGGACTATTGGGCAATTTATATTACCAATCTAGTCAATGAAGCTATGCAAAATGTAGTAAAATTGGAAGAACCATTTTTACCTATGTATTTTTTGCTATCTCCTCAACAATAATCGTTGATTAGCAGTCACCTGCTATATGTATGTAAACATATAATTAAAATCAAAATCTTTCCTTTACTAAAAAACTTGAGTCTGAACTGGAGTAGTCAGAATGACAGAACATAATTTTAAAAACATTAATACAAAAGTTGTCTCTTTATTATTTTCCTGTATTTGCTCAATACACAATCCGATATTTTGAAATCCCATCGATGAGACAGAGTAGTAAAATATCACCTCAATTCTTACGTTGAGGGTAAAGAAGGGGAAAGACAACTGATGGCTTTAGTATAACAAAAACGTCCAGTAAAAATTGTCAGGTGACATGAGGATAAAGAGAAAAACAGTCCAAACTCTTGGAAAAGTAACCTCCTACGTGATTTTAACACCTCCTGCCTATGCAAGCTACAAGGTCGGTAAAACCCTCAAAAGATCTGGGTTAAAATGACATGCTTTGGGGGTGGGGAGGTGGACTTAGCTTTTTATTTTTTTATACATTCTTTTCATTTGAGAATAATCTCATAAACCTTAATAAAAGAAGGAAAACTTGAAACTACTCAACATACCAAAGACTAAGGAACAACTGATCTGGTTTCTTCCACTTCAAAAATCTAGGTCACCAATATCTCTACACCCAGATAAACAGTAAGTATAATTACTGCAGTTGTTAAAATCTGTGACTGACCTTAGGTGCAGGAAACAATTAAATTACTGTTAAAATGACCATGATTTGCTACTCAATTGGTCTTTAACCAAAACATGTGGACTTACAGACTACATTGAGAATGATTTGGCAAAGAAAAGATGAGAATAAATCTACTAAATAAATACATCTATCCTCAATAAGACAACGCAGATTTCCAACATGGAACTAGTACTTTAGTTATTCTACTCTCTTTATCTTTTGGGCTTTTTGAAGCAAACTCTCAGTCAATTACATGCTTTCAAATTTTCCAACAAAAATTTTTACAAGAAAACGATTTTAAAATCACCAAAAAACCAAAGGACAAGATGTTCAAGACTAGAAAGTATATAAGAAAGAATACAATCAGGGAATGGCTTTACCAAGGTGGGCAAAGCTCAGAACGGCAGAACTCCTTCCCTGCTGTAATGAGTACACTACACCTGCTGGTGTGGTCTGGGGACTACCTCTGGGTACAGCAGGGGAAAGCCTGGTACAAAAGGCTCAATGGCTCAAAGAAAACCTGAGTGGTGACAAGAGCCTAAAGGCACATGCAGGTACGCATCTTTTATATTGGATGTGATACACTTACATGGCCCCTGTTGAATCTCTTGGGGACCAACAGTAAAGCAAGTTTAGAACTTCAAATCTTGAGACATCTATAGCAAGATGCTGATCCAATGTGGCTCCAAATATCTTCTGTTTTCCTGGCTCACCTGAAGAGGAAAAAACACTACAGAGGATGTGGGAACTGAATTTCTTTATGTAGTTTCTTCTAGAGCAACTGTCTGAAAGTTTTGGCCCAATCCTTTATCAAGTCTGGAGATGAGACACTTGAGGGACTAGCGAAAAACAAAATTCAAATGAAAAGCTGGAGTGAGGCATCTAAAAGGGGAAAACGAGAGCACAAGGTAATCCTAAGTGGGCGGAGGCAGAGAAAGGAGAGGAAAAAATGCACAGAGGTTTCTCCCTCCACTTCCTCACCCCAACTGCTACTAAAAATTCACAAAGTACCTCAACTTTCTGACCGCAGTTAGGGAGTGAATAAGCAAGATTACTTGGAAAGTTTAAGCATTTTGTCAAGTCTCCCTCCCCTGGCTATGTGGCATTATTAAGCAACAGGGAGGCCTTTCAAACAACACTTTCTTCCTAAGAAAAGATTCTGGTCGAATACAGCTTGAGGCAATACAGAAAGAGAATAAAATAGCCAATTCATACAAAAATGGAAGTCACAGGACAATAGACCATATTTACAACGTTTATTTAATTCTGTTTTTCAAAAGGGGAGGAATAGCTTTCATGTAATCAGAAATCAGAACAAAAAGTCGTTTCCAAATAAAGTATTTTTAAACNCAATACCACTACCTTGAATATCTTATTAAGAGAATGTGATAAAAAAACACTTTTAGAAAAAAAAAAACACTTTTATCTACAGAAACCTCAAAAATAGAAACTTCACTGTGTAATTTATTCACTCTCTGATCAAAACAACTTCTCCAAATGGACTATTGGGCAATTTATATTACCAATCTAGTCAATGAAGCTATGCAAAATGTAGTAAAATTGGAAGAACCATTTTTACCTATGTATTTTTTGCTATCTCCTCAACAATAATCGTTGATTAGCAGTCACCTGCTATATGTATGTAAACATATAATTAAAATCAAAATCTTTCCTTTACTAAAAAACTTGAGTCTGAACTGGAGTAGTCAGAATGACAGAACATAATTTTAAAAACATTAATACAAAAGTTGTCTCTTTATTATTTTCCTGTATTTGCTCAATACACAATCCGATATTTTGAAATCCCATCGATGAGACAGAGTAGTAAAATATCACCTCAATTCTTACGTTGAGGGTAAAGAAGGGGAAAGACAACTGATGGCTTTAGTATAACAAAAACGTCCAGTAAAAATTGTCAGGTGACATGAGGATAAAGAGAAAAACAGTCCAAACTCTTGGAAAAGTAACCTCCTACGTGATTTTAACACCTCCTGCCTATGCAAGCTACAAGGTCGGTAAAACCCTCAAAAGATCTGGGTTAAAATGACATGCTTTGGGGGTGGGGAGGTGGACTTAGCTTTTTATTTTTTTATACATTCTTTTCATTTGAGAATAATCTCATAAACCTTAATAAAAGAAGGAAAACTTGAAACTACTCAACATACCAAAGACTAAGGAACAACTGATCTGGTTTCTTCCACTTCAAAAATCTAGGTCACCAATATCTCTACACCCAGATAAACAGTAAGTATAATTACTGCAGTTGTTAAAATCTGTGACTGACCTTAGGTGCAGGAAACAATTAAATTACTGTTAAAATGACCATGATTTGCTACTCAATTGGTCTTTAACCAAAACATGTGGACTTACAGACTACATTGAGAATGATTTGGCAAAGAAAAGATGAGAATAAATCTACTAAATAAATACATCTATCCTCAATAAGACAACGCAGATTTCCAACATGGAACTAGTACTTTAGTTATTCTACTCTCTTTATCTTTTGGGCTTTTTGAAGCAAACTCTCAGTCAATTACATGCTTTCAAATTTTCCAACAAAAATTTTTACAAGAAAACGATTTTAAAATCACCAAAAAACCAAAGGACAAGATGTTCAAGACTAGAAAGTATATAAGAAAGAATACAATCAGGGAATGGCTTTACCAAGGTGGGCAAAGCTCAGAACGGCAGAACTCCTTCCCTGCTGTAATGAGTACACTACACCTGCTGGTGTGGTCTGGGGACTACCTCTGGGTACAGCAGGGGAAAGCCTGGTACAAAAGGCTCAATGGCTCAAAGAAAACCTGAGTGGTGACAAGAGCCTAAAGGCACATGCAGGTACGCATCTTTTATATTGGATGTGATACACTTACATGGCCCCTGTTGAATCTCTTGGGGACCAACAGTAAAGCAAGTTTAGAACTTCAAATCTTGAGACATCTATAGCAAGATGCTGATCCAATGTGGCTCCAAATATCTTCTGTTTTCCTGGCTCACCTGAAGAGGAAAAAACACTACAGAGGATGTGGGAACTGAATTTCTTTATGTAGTTTCTTCTAGAGCAACTGTCTGAAAGTTTTGGCCCAATCCTTTATCAAGTCTGGAGATGAGACACTTGAGGGACTAGCGAAAAACAAAATTCAAATGAAAAGCTGGAGTGAGGCATCTAAAAGGGGAAAACGAGAGCACAAGGTAATCCTAAGTGGGCGGAGGCAGAGAAAGGAGAGGAAAAAATGCACAGAGGTTTCTCCCTCCACTTCCTCACCCCAACTGCTACTAAAAATTCACAAAGTACCTCAACTTTCTGACCGCAGTTAGGGAGTGAATAAGCAAGATTACTTGGAAAGTTTAAGCATTTTGTCAAGTCTCCCTCCCCTGGCTATGTGGCATTATTAAGCAACAGGGAGGCCTTTCAAACAACACTTTCTTCCTAAGAAAAGATTCTGGTCGAATACAGCTTGAGGCAATACAGAAAGAGAATAAAATAGCCAATTCATACAAAAATGGAAGTCACAGGACAATAGACCATATTTACAACGTTTATTTAATTCTGTTTTTCAAAAGGGGAGGAATAGCTTTCATGTAATCAGAAATCAGAACAAAAAGTCGTTTCCAAATAAAGTATTTTTAAACTAAGCAACACAAACTGCATCCTTCATCCCCTTAGGAAATACTATCCCTAGAAAGATAATCTTTAAAAAACTAAGATTAGCAGAATCAAGTCTGACGTACATTACCACACAAAAGCAGAAAAATGTAGTCTATAATGTTAAGTTAATTTAGATTCATTTTTAATTAACTTAAATTGTTTTCTTAAAACATTTTACCTAAATATTGAATTATTAGGTCTTCTCCGGCATTCATGTAATCGCCTAGGACATAAAACAATTTTCTTTCAAATATATTCCATTTTAACCAGATTTGAACTATATCTGGTAAAAATACCAGAATTTTCTGAAAAATAAGATTTGAGAACCAATTAGATCCTTACCTGACGTGGCTGTTCATTCATTCGTTGTGGATCTGATTTCACTTTATTATTAGGATGATTGGTGACTTTGGTTACTGGTTGTTTGAAAATTGATGCTGTTTGTCTAATTGGCAATGTTGTATTTAAGTCTGGTTTACCCTGTGGATTTAAGCATGTTTTCATTAATAATTGTTATACATAAATACAATTATATGAATTCTTTTTACTAAATCAGTATCTACTACTTTAAATCAGATTATTCCAAATTTCTCAATATCAATATTTTAAATACTCTGAAGTACATTTTAAGTACTTTATTATGTAAGACATACAGGGAGAGGCAAACATAGGTATACAGTTGTTCGTATGGAAAATAACACAATTAATAATAACACAAGAATAAGCTCCGTGTTTTGTGTACTCACAACTGCAAACCTACTTTTGCTCCACCCTCTATATAAAGCTTTTTTCATAACACAAAGTTCTTTACATACATTTAAATGTAAGAAAATTCTGTATATAGAATTCATAATTAATTTGATTAGTAAGATACTAAGAACTTTCAAGTGAACAACTAAGTTTAAAGTTGGGTTACACAAAAGGAAGGAGAGCTTTCATGACAACAAACAGGGCAGTGAGCATTTCTACATTCTGAAGATGAACCAAAACAACGGCATTCTTGGCCATTAAAATACAAACGACCTAGTCAGCTGTTAGGAGGCCAGGCTCACATAAAGCCACTTAGATTAACCTTCCCCACCTACTAAAGATAATTAGAAATGGAAGTTCTAATTCTAGCAAACAGAACTGGATTTAGAAAAGTGTGACAAAATAAGGAAATACGACTTATTTTCATATGACATTTAATACTTTTAAAGAAGAGACTTAAAATTGAGCTTCAGAAAGTCAAGCAACATACTTATCTACTTTCAATCAACCAGTAATTAAATGTAAGATGTGCTCTAGTGAAGTCAAAATGTGGCAGAGAACCACTATTAAGTTCATTTGCATTACCTTAACAAGGGGTGGCGGGATGGGGTAGCCAGGGGAGGTGAGAAAGAACAAAATGTGATTATGGCAAAAAATATAAAAGTCCATAAACAATATGTACCTGATATTTTTGATATAGAAATATATTTGATAAACGTACAGGATAGTCAGTGAACTTTTATCTTTACAACTATCTCCAGGTAAAAATTGTAGTATCAACTTCCAGATTCTAAATAATGGTTTTCAAACTTGAGCGTTCATCAGAATCGCCCAGGGGTCTCACTGAAACACAGGTCAATGGGCCTCACTCCCAGAGATTCTGATTCAGTGAGTCTGAGGTGGGGCCTGGGAATCTGCATTTCTGTTAAGGTCTCTCTCTCAGGTGCTGCTGCTGCTACTGCTGCTGTTGACCCAGGGACCACACTTGGAGAACCACGGGCTCTAAAAGATTGCAAATTGGTGGCAGGCAAACGAAGACTAACCTGTAGATGTGTTCTGCTCACTTTTTAGGGTCTTTAAAAAATTAAGCCAACAGCTACAAATCTGGAGACTTCACATAAAATCCAGAATTCTAGCTTCTCTTAAAAATGCAAATATCTAGAAATACTGGACTTGATTTAATCACAATAGGCCATAAGTAACTAGTGGTGGCTGCCCCTGGAGGTGTCAAGGGTTCTCCCTTTGCAGCATTTCTCAACAACTCACATTTGTGTTACTTATCTGAGCCCTGTGGGGATGGAGTTGGTGACCTCTGCTTAAAGAATATTAGTGATGTCTAGAAAAATAAGCATCACAATAAATTAATCTGACAATTATTACAGTATTATTTGGACCCACTATTAAATGTGAGTCTCCACTTCCCTCCTCCTAACCCCCCAACACACGCTCCTCTTCTCTGTATATACTAGACATGCTTATCATTCCTTTATCTCAATTTTTTCCCAGTTTATGTGCTTACCTTTAAGAGATACATTCATCTTAAATAACTAACAATATTATTTACCAGATATTTAGCCTTATCTTTATGGATTAAAAACAACTTTGAGCCCTAGCTGGTTTGGCTGCATTGGCCCGCAGACTGAAGGGTCTGGGGTTCGATTCCAGTCAAGGGCACATACCTTGGTTGCAGGCTCGAACCCTGGCCCTAGTCAGGGCGTGTGTGGGAGGCACCAATCAGTGTGTCTCTCTCACATCGATGTTTCTCTCTTCCCTCCCTCTCTCTCTCCCCCCGCCCTTCCATTCTCTCTGAAAAGCAATGGAAAAAATATCCTCCAGTGAGGATTAAAAAAACACAACTTTGATTTAGAAGTGTACAAACTTGGCCAACAGGCTGAAAAATAACCACCTAGTATGCCATTTCTAAAAAGTGTGAGGCCCAGGAATGTGTACTTTTAAAAGCTGTCCTGGTAATTCTGTGACACCACCGGTTTGGCCACCTCTGATTTATGACATCTAGAGCATCCTGAGCCCTAAGTGAACCCACCCAACCTATAAAATAGTCAATATTCAATCCTAAAGCAGCTTCACACATAAATGCTTATGGAGAACTTTGCCTGTCACTAGTTGGTTATAATTAATATGTATCTCTAAACAATACCTTTGGTTTTGTTTTTGTTGTTTCAGGAAAAAACAATATACTCTGCTCATATTAGAACAAAGATGGCATCAGTAGAAACAAAAGTATATATGGCAATTGTTTGTATGGGCAAACACAGTCACGCCTGTAAGATTCTCATTGTTACAAAAGATGACTGGAGGCAGCACAGACTGTTCCAAACTATGAATTCTGAATCCACAAAGACTGGAAGGAAGCATGAAACGTAAAACTATTGGTGCCACAATAATAAGATTGATCTTTTTTTCATTAACTTATGTTTTTAGTTCAATAAATAAAAATTAGGAAAGCTGGCTAAAAATATTCAAAATATACAATTAACTTCCTTTGTCTGGCATGGAGACAGACAATTCATTCCCCAGTGGCATGAAATAAAGAGATTACTCAAGAGTATGCTATTACTTTTCTCTTCATCTTTTGTTTTTTATTATTTTTTCTGCTTTTAATTGGCCTTCAAAACTCTGAAGACAGAAAGAATTTTTAACTAATTAATTTTGTATTCCAAAACAGTATCATGTGGGGTAATGTGAAAAGCTGGACTAACTGGTTTTCCCAGAAACTGTCACAAAAACAGCAAATTTTATTACCATTCTCCCATCAAGACTGCCAAAGATTCACTGTTCATTCATGCCCAGTTGTGTGTCTGAGTTCTGAGAACTACCAGTCTGCAGTAAACTTAAGAGCTATAAAAAAGACACTTTTTTATGGGACAAGATTAAAGCTGTTCATACATATATTTGAAATCTCCCCTCCCTTTCAATATGAGAAAAAGTGAAGAAATTCCTTATATTAAAAAATTAAACTGGCAAACACACATTTTAATATTAGAAAAGTTTCCAACCTGTAATAAATTTTCTCACTATCAAAGTTTAATGGATTTTATAAAAATGTGTATATATTAGGCTGGAAGTATACGGATAACTCGAATCATTTTTAGGGTCTATTCCATCCCCCTAGGTGCTAAGAATATAAAAAAAAAATTATTATTTTTTTTTTTACTTTTACTTCATCTCTTTCCAATAAATATCTCAGATGGCTCTTTTACATTCAGAAAGAACAAATATGCAAAAATTAATATTTAAAAATGGAAAATCAAGGACAGAGAGAGAACAACTTTCCTTTTGAAAAGGTTAATAGTGATTGACAATAGAGCCGAGCATCAAATATGGACGTGCACTTTCTCGGGGCCTGGGTGAAAAGAGATTAAGTTATATAGATATCCTGGGCAGAAAGAAGAACACATGCCAATTAATGAAGAAGACAAACGCTGTTCTGCCCTGGCTGGTTTGGCCCAGTGGTCAGGGCATCAGCCCTCAGCCTGAAGGGCCCCAGGTTCGAGCACATACCTCGTTTGCAGGATTGATCCCCAGCCCCAGTTGGGCACTTACGGGAGGCAACCCATCCATGTGTCTCTCTCACATCATTGTTTCTCTCTCTCTCCCTCCCTCCCTTTCACTCTCTCTGAAAAACAACGGAAAAAATATCTGCAGCTGAAAAAAAAAAAAAAAGCTGTCCTGACATTAACTCTAGAAAAAATATTAAGCAGATTTCAAATGCTTTTTCTATTCTCAATGACCTTCCATAAAAACCAAGAAAAGAACATTTAAAGGACAACCCGGTGAAGGAGATTCTGAAAGCGACAAAACCAGTGCGCAGCCTGTCCGTGACCTGACTTGATTAAGGCTGGAAAACAGAACAGCCAAAGAGGTGCATGAAGAGCATGTGTCATAAAACCAGTAGTTTTCAAACATTTTTTGCATTCCTAACCCTTACAACTTTTTTGAAAACATACATACACACCACACCACCCACATTTTAAAGTTGACATCAAGAATATTTCATATTTTAATGTAAATAGTTTCAAAGGATCCACTTTAGACTAGAGTATTTTAAATACTGACACTTTAATAAACTGTTGCATTACTTCAAAATATATCTAATAGAATCTAAATATACCCACCAACAACTGTTTATACATGAACAAACTCGAGTCATGTATTTTATCTCTCCTTTTTCTCTTTGAATAACTCCATTCCCAGAGTTATTTCCTATTTTAAACTTGAAAACCTTTAATTGATCATTTATCTCATGAAATTATTTTTTTAAACTTTTTGTGACCACAGAGCTCTTAATGATAAAAATAAATAAATCTGTTCTGGTTTATTACAATGATTAGTATACAACTGACCAAAAATGGCAAATTACATTTTAAGTAAGAGATGAAAATTAGATAAATATATTAATGAAAAGTATTTTTTATTTAAAAATAACTTTATGGCCTTGAATGAGTATTATTAATTGCTAGAAGGGGTCAAGATTTAGTGTCAACTCCATTCATATTTTTCTTCTTTTTTTTAAACGTTAACACCAAGAAACCTTGCTCACTCAATTCTTTTGAACTTCTTTTGATTTACAGGACAAAATGTGCACCATCAAAATTTTTAATAATCGACACCTACACTAAGTCCTCTTTAAATGTTGTTGCAAGCAAAGAATTGTACCAGCAGAAAGACATCACTGTTACCAAGTCATTCATTTTTCCATAGTAACACCA